CGTTCGGGCAAAGACACAGTAAGAAAATTTTTTTTATTCAATATCTTGATTTATTTGTTTCCATCTCACAGCTCGTCTAATCTTCTAATTGATCTCTGTACTACTTCACGGGATTCCTGTTATTACTCGGAGTTAGAATATTGAGTTCTGCCGAGGGACTGGGAGTGATAATCAAGACCGCGTTAGGACTGGAACTGGGTATGAGTTGGCGGCCATGTTGATTTATGTCAGTTCTCGAGCGCATGTGCGTGTAATCTGGTGGATTGGAGTATGTCTTTGTCGAAGTCTCGTAAAAGATCTTATCGATACCGTGTGAAATGTGAAGAATGCGAGAAAGAATTCGACTCCGACTATGTAGAAGCTCATTCCCGAATTGTTCACAGCGGCGGAAAACTGAGTGAAATGTCTGCCAATGGTAGAATTGTCACAGCTGAAATTAAGTGGTGTCTTCTCTAAAAGCAGTGCAGCAGTCGAATCTCCAGGTCAGACACAGGAGGCACCGCTTGTTGGATGTAGTCCAGAGAGTGAACAACGTACTATTTCATCAATATACGAAGAATCTGTTGCAAATATCCAGCCAGATCCTGAATCAATCGACCAAGATGGCCTGATGCGTCAATGAGAGACGTCCAGGAACCTAGCGAGCCCAGTACCCCGATAGATAAAGGCATTCAATCAGATCTCGGAGGGATTGCTCAACTAAAGCCAGAGTCCTCCACATCATCTACGTTGACGACAATGGTACCGAAACAACCTGTTTTACCCGAATATCCGGGCACCAAGTTCAGCAGTGAGTCTTTCACTAGACGATTCCAGCCTGACTGGTATAAAAAGTATCCATGGCTCAGTTACGATGTCGAAAAAGACGTGTGTGTATGTTTTGCCTACACAGAGTTTGGAAAGGATGCATCTTTTGTTTTCAAGAATTGGAAGAAGCCATCAAAGTTAACAAAACACAGCCAAAGTGAGAATCATGTAAGTTGCATGCCTAAGTGGCTGCAGTTCAAAGCAATGGAAAGAAAGAATAACAGTGTTCTGCAGCAACTAAGCAATGCACATAAAGAGCAGGTCAAAGTTAACAGGAAATATTTACAAGTGACAATCGAGTGCTTGATTTCCAC